TTTAAAACATACCTTAAGCAGTGCGGCATGATGAAGACGAGTGGTCAACACACATGATCAATTCACACAATCACTTAATCACATATAAACCAGTCTACAGAAACGCAGACTGGCTCTGATACCAAACTGTAACTCCCCAAAGATTTTCAAAGACAATTTCGAACTTATCCAAAAATCTTGTTTTAAAATTTTGAAACCATTTTTCGATTCATAAAACATTTGGCGCTACTCGAGAACTTTGCAAAGCTTAACGCATAATCAGCATAAAGGAAACGAGAACATTCAACATAAATCAAGTTCTAAGACTAGATTTCAACATATCTAGCAATAGGATTGTCAACATAATCCAAACTGATAAAAATATTTCACATGGTTCAACAGTTCAACCAATCCCAAAAGCAATAGGGAGGAATAACAAAGTCTGATATTCTCAACATAAATATCAAAGCATGCGGAAGCAACATAAAGCAATAATAATGTTTGACCATCCACTCGTCTTCAGTCTCGTCATGCCCAACACGTTCTTAACCTGCATCCATGAAGAGCAGGTGGGGATGAGCACAAATATAAACGAGGTGCTCACCACTATGCATAATATATTGGTAAGAATACTGTACTAGAGTCATATGCAAGTACATGGTCAAAAGACATAATACACCACTCTCCTACTCATCACTATACTCATGTGCACACCTATCAAAAGCCGCCAAGGGTAAGCCCAAACTCGTCAGCAGGAGTACAGTCGTGCCGAGGTTCAACATCAATGGTCACGGCCCATCAACTAGGCTAAAATGAGTCTACCTATCACAAGGTTGGAGATCGCCCACCACTAGGCACTGTCTCATGACTCACACATACATTCATAGACCACAAAGTATAAAAATCTTACCTCAATTATAACGTAGCAAATTTTAGATTAAAACCCACCTCGAAATCGAGGTAGAATAACACACAAAAGCATCTACGTAGGTCGAGGGCTCGACTCCTCAAACACCTACATTTCAGCAAGATAATATATTCATAATCTATCTCACCACTCGAATATAACATAAAACTCATACTTAATAAAAATTAAGACATAAGGGTTTTTATAGGATTTTTCGTGGACTTGAAACTCTCTGATTTTTAGCAAAATAGGACTCGGAAAATTAATTTGGAGTCTCGGGACTTAAAATAATTTTTCCCAAATTTTTCTCATTTGAAAAATATTTTTTTTTAAAAAAATTTAGTTCGGCACAAAAAAATAGACTACCGACAGAAAAAGGGGTCAAAAATAGCAACTTGGGCTGCACGTCCACACATGGAACCAAACAGCCACGAAAATTGGGCCTCGCGCGCCCATTTGGGCCGCAGGGAAAGCAAAAAGGGCCACAATTTAGGCCTGCTAACAGGCTAGGAGGACGCGGGCTCGCAGGCTTAGATCGGGCTGCTCGCGGGCTGGGGTTTACAGAGAGAATGCGGGCTGCTCGGGCCCTATGGCCCGCGCGCTGAAGCTGGCCCTTAATAATAAAAAAAAAAAGAACAGGCCTATTACTTACGCGAGGAAATGTGGTCAAACCCCCGACCTCACTCAGGGAATAGCGCACAGATGACCACTGCGTTACACGCTTTCTTGGTATTATAATTGAAAACTTCTATACTGATATTAAAAAGAAACCTGCGAATTGAAATTAAAAAGAAACCTGCGAACAGAGCCTGGGATTGAACAGAAACTGCTAACATGCTAATGGCTCAACCGATCTCGACGAAAAATTTCCAATGGCAATCAGGTTTGAGACTTACAAAAATACTACATTTTCAGAGTTTGAAAATATATTTTGAAACCGGGTTTGTTCGAAAAAATGAAACATCAATAATAATGAAAAAAAAAAATGAACGATGGGGACTCGAACGATCCGAACAACCTAACGACGACTCGGAACAACAAAACGGGACTCCGAACTTATACACATTTCTCACAACAAAAAAATGATACTCATTTTTTTGAAATCGAGAGTTCCAATAAATCCCAAAAATCCACGAAACTCACAAATCACAACACATGAACAAATAAACGTTCCGACATCAAAATCCAAGCGAAAGACGAGAATCGAATCCAACAAATAAAGAGCACGATAATATACAACTAGAACAATAAATACAAACTCGATATAGGGATTCAGAAGGTTACCATCTTCAGGAATATCGAAAGAAAACGGTCAAACTACGGAAACCAAGGAACTCGAAACAAACGTACACTCGGACAGTAACTCCAACGAACAAGACCCAGGGGTGACTGTTCATGAGTGGAAGACGACACTGACGTCAATAACGGCCGGCGAAAATGACTGCCAGAGGTTCGGACACGCGGGGAGGAAGCTGGTTGCCAGAAGTTTGAAGCGCTCGGCTATGGAGGACGACGACTCAGGACCCTTCTTTGACAGCGGTCGCTCCTTGCTGCTCGTTGGAATTAATGGTGAGAAGCTGTTGCCGGAACAGAGCTCGGCAATGGCGGAACGGCTATGGTGACGATGGTTCTCGGGGAGATCACTGGCGAAAGGGATGGACTTTTCTGATGAAAGTGGAAATCGCCTTCGGTCTAGATTATAAGGGATAAGCGGGTGATTATCGAGCGAACGTGGCCAGGAAAATTGCGCAAGAAAATCTCAACGGCGAAGGGAGTGATGGACCAGGTCAGATTCACGTGCGGAAAAATAAGGAGAAGAAGAGGAACATGCCGTGATTAATTCTCTTGGGCCAAGGTTGAGTAATTCATTTGGGCCAAATTAAAACAAGAAATTGGGCCATCATAATTTAATCAACTTGGGCCAGAAAAATCAATCATTTTGGGCTACAATTAAATAACTTATGTAGGTAGGAAAATATACACAATTGGACCAAAAAGGCTCTCAAGACCCAGTAAGAAAATGCAACAATACGAATCTCCGATTAGCATGATTGACGACGAATAATAAATTAATTCAGATATATACATAAACACATAACATTTATTTAATATTAATAATCATTTAAACACTTAATGACAATTAGAAATTTTAAATAATAATAATAATAATACAAAATAAATAATCTCAAATAATTCATGATTCAACGGGGTATTACAACGACCCTCCCCTGCTGCATAAGAACACATCCCAAACCCATCTTCGAAGCATCACTGTAGATGGTGAACTCAAAAGTAGGGTCGGGAATGGATAGAACGGGCGCGGTAGTGAGTCTCCTCTTCAACTCCTGGAAACTCTCCTCACACCTAGGACTCCAATGGAACTTCACGGCCTTCTTCGTAAGGTTGGTTAGTGGCTGGGCAATCTTCGAGAAGCCCTCGATAAACCTCCGGTAGTATCCTGCTAACCCCAGGAAACTACGAACATCAGCGGCACTTCTTGGTGTATCCCACTTGCTCACTGCCTCAATCTTGTCGGGATCTACCTCAATGCCTCGAGTTGTCACAATGTGGCCGAGGAATGCCACACGATCCAACCAGAATTCACACTTCGAGAACTTAGCATACAGCTTCTCACGACGAAGAGTCTCCAGCACAGTCCTCAGATGCTCCTTGTGCTGGTCGATATCTTGAGAATGAACCAGGATGTCGTCGATGAACACAATGAAAAACTGGTCCAGGAAAGGATGAAAGACCCTATTCATAAGGTCCATAAACACGGCCGGAGAATTGCTAAGTCCAAATGGCATAACCACGAACTCATAATGGCCATATTGGTACGGAAGGCAGTCTTAGAAATATCTGACTCCCGGATCTTCAGCTGATGATAGTCAGAACGCAAGTCGATCTTCGAGAGGACACTGGCTCCCCTCAGCTGATCGAAAAGATCCTCAATATGAGGAAGGTGGTACTTGTTCTTGACTGTAAGGCCATTCAACTCCCGATAGTCAATACACATGCGCATCGATCTGTCTTTCTTCTTCACGAATAGAATGGGCGCTCTCCGCGACGAACACTCGGCCGAATGAAACTGAGATTGAGCAACTCCTGAATTTGGGCCTTGAGCTCTTGAAGCTCCTTCGGCGCCATATGATAATGGACCTTAGAAACGGGACCGGCTCCCGGTACTAGATCAATGGTGAACTCTACCTGGCGGTCGGGTGGTCGGGCGGTCCTCTGGGCAGTTCATCGGGAAAAACATCGAGGTACTCACAAACGATAGAAACTCTCTCCGGGGACCTCTCAGAATCGTCCTCGGATACCATAGATACTAGATAGCCTTGAAAGCTACCCTTGGAAAATATCTTCCTAGCTTGCATAGAAGAGATGACTCGAGGCACAGTCCTTGACTTCACCCCATAGAAAACGACAGGTTGATCGGACGGGGAAGAGAGTGACTTCGCGCTCCTGGCACCGGATGTCGGCTCGATAGCGAGTGAGCCAGTCCATGCCCAAGATCACATCGAAGTCCCGCATTTCAATAACATAGGTGTCGGTCTTCATAACACGCCCACCAATATTGACTGAAAGGCCAAGAATTATAGAATCGGAGATAATAATTTTTCCCGAGGCTAAGCTAACCTCGAGAGGATCACAGTTGCACATATTGCAAATAGAAAGTGCCTCAAGGCATCGAGAGGAGATAAAGGAATGAGTAGCCCCAGTGTCACATAACGCAAAGATAGGCACATTGGATAATAAAATCATGCCAGACATGGTACCTGCATTGTTGGCCGCCTCGTCATGAGCGATGGTATACACTCGTGCATGACCCCCAGCCCTATGCTGGTTCGGTGGGGGTTGTCTGTTCTGCTGCTGCTGCTGCTGACTAGGTGGAGGGAGAAGCTGCTGCTGCTGCAGGTAAGGCTGCTGGTATTGTGGTTGTCTCTTCGGTTCGGGGCAGTCGTGGTAAAAGTGGTCGGGGCGCTGACAGTTGAAACAAACCTTCTGATCATGACGACACTCCCCCAGGTGGTAACGGCCGCACTTAAGGCATTTTGGATACTGGCCCTGGACAGGTCGGTCATCGCGTTTCACAAAGTTTCCTTTCTTCCCCTTTTTGTTCTGGGGGTAGCCAGACTTCCTCTTGCCCGAACTAGAGCTGGGCGGCACGTAGGAGATGGGATGGACTAGCTGAGAAGAAGGGACAGAAGCATCAAGAGTCTGATAACTCTCAAGCTGGGTGGCTCGGATAACAGTCTCATCAAAGGAAAGATTTCCTTGGCTAACAATATGCATACGGAGGGTTTGATTCAGCCTATCCCGGAACTTGTGGGCCTTCTTCATGTCGGTGTCCACCATATGTGGAGCAAAGGCGCTCATGCGGGTGAACTCCCGCTCGTACTCCTCAACGGTACCAGACCCCTGAGTAAGATCCCAGAAAGCGCGCTCCATCCTCATGCGATAACTCTGAGGATAATACTTCTCCATGATCACCTCCATCATGCAGTCCCAAGTCAGGGCATTAAACTCCGCCTGCCTCAACCTCCAATAGCTGGACCACCATAGGGCGCATCGCCCTTCAGCATATAGCGGCCACAGACGACCTTCTGGGCGTCGGTGTACTGCAGCAAATCGAAATTCTTCTCTAACTGACGGATCCACTCCGCCACTGTTTCGGGCCCTTCAACCCCGGTGAAAGTCGGCAGGGTCAACTGGCGAAACTGAATCACAATGTTAAGATGAGCCCCAGCCGGATTGGGAGCCTGCTGGTGAGGTGGAGATGGGGATGGAGATAGAGGTGGAGACGGAGTAGGCTAACGGTTGCGAGCATTACGACGAGCTATAGTTCTACATTGACAATGGGTCGAACAGTTTAGCACAATAATAAAAGAAGTCTAGAGTTCAACACTAGAGTTCGCATTAAAGGTGGATTAGTCCTAACTCCGATTTCATTTCAATAATCAATAATCAAACAATATGCAATAATCTCATAGTCATTCAGATACTCATACCTGAGCTGGCATGACACGACGAGATCGAGTGGTCTAAACACATAATCACATATAAATTTTTCATACTTAAACCAGTCTACAGAAACGCAGACTGGCTCTGATACCAAACTGTAACGCCCCACTTTTATTTACCGAAATGCAGAATAAATTTTTCAAAATTTATTTCATAAAACTTTGGTGGCGCTACTATTTCAAAAACCATTTTCAATGACATCATAAATGCAACTCCCAAAACAGGTTAAAAAAAATTAGGTCAACACCCAAATCGGGTTCATCAATAACATCAATCTCCCAAAACTGGGTTTTCTCAAATTCATAAATATTGGGGAGTACACTCCCTATCAAAAATTCGAAAATCAATATTAATCAGAATGCATAAACAATACTAGGCAGTTAAAAACAGCGGAAATAAATTCGGTAACATGACCACCACTCGCCTCCTCTTGTCGTGCCAGCGAGTACTAACCTGCATCCATGAAGAGCAGGTGGGGATAAGCACAATTGAAAATCGAGGTGCTCGCCACTATGTAGTAATCAATATTCAAGAATCATAAACAGTAAAGGTATGGTCGCAGTATGAACATAAAATAATTAATATCCCATCTCCTATCCCAGAGTCAACCCTCATGTGCATACCTATACCAATAGACTACTGAGGTGATACATGTATCGAAATGCCCCTCGGGTCTTACAATCGATGCCCAGCCAGCAGGAGGCTCAACTGTTGATACACGTATCGAATGCCCCTCGGGCCTTACAATTGATGCCCAACAGTATGAGTAAATCCACCCCCGAATGCCTAGACTTTCGCCTTGGCCTTACATACGAGGATCACAGCCAAGGCTCACGCCCTGACTGCCTTACATAAATAAAGGAGACTACCGAAGGTACGTTCTATAGCTACGGGGATAACCGTTCGACAGACGGTACAGCTCACATCGAAGGCTACATGGTCTATACTCATACTTCGATCATACCATAACAAAAGCAATTAATTAAAGCATAGCAATTTTATAAATAAACCCACCTGGTAAATCGGTAAAAAGGCACACAAAATCAAGTACGTAGGATGAGGCTCGACTCCTCAAACACCTACATTTAAGTGAGATCATTTATCAATAAACTATATAAGTATTCGAATTTATCATAAAACTCATACTTAATAAAAATTAAGACTTAAGGGTTTTAATCGAATTTTTCGTGGACTTGGAACTCTCTCATTTTTACAAAATAGGACTCAGAAAATTAATTTGGAGTCTCGGGACTTAAAATAATTTTTTCTAAATTTTTCTCATTTCATAAATATTTTTAAAATTAAAATCGATATTTAAATGGGCTTCCGGAACTCAAAATAGCTTAAAAGCCAATTGGGCCGCGCTGGAATTAATCTACCGTGGAAATGGGCTCATATATGCGAAATTGGGCCGAAATAATGGTCTGGCCCAAATGCTCAAGGCTGAAGATATGCGGGCTGGGGTTCGGGCCACGCGGGCCATCAACTGAGAGAAAACGCGGGCCGCGTGGGCCGATGTGCGGGCTTGCAGGCTGTGAAGCCCGCTCTGCTGGAAATTTGGACCAAAAGTAAATGTTCAAGGGCGGGTTTCGATCCCCAAACCTCACCCAAAGAAACATGTCCTGAACACAACTGCACCATATGCTCTGGATGCTAATTTTAATGAAATTGTTTTACTTAAATGAAAAGAAACACCTGGAAACTACCGAACAGAAAACAGAGACACATAAAAAAAAGGAAGTCGAGATGAGGTTGATCTGCGAACAGGATGGGTAAAAAAATTCGACCAATTTTGACAACGACATATCTAACGGCCACTGGATTCGAACTGAGGTTGATCTGCGAACAGGTTGGGTAAAAAAATTCGACCAATTTCGATGACGACATATCTAACGGCCACTGGATTCGAGATATTATCAAAAATACATACTTCAGAGTTATTTATAAATATCGGTTTTATATATTCGAAAAACAGAACGACATCAAACGGTTTCGAAAACGAACGAATGAACATATCAATGACGGTAAGGCTCGAAACCATAGATCAAGACTCCGAAATAACACGATATAGTCACAGAAATTAAAGATATTGATTTATACAATAAACGAGAGTTCTGATTATGCCCGAAATTCGCGAACAACACGACGAATAATGAACCGACAATAAACCGAGAATAAACAAATATCGATTTCAACCAACGACACTCGGGACACCGAAACATGAAATAATCGAACAATATCAAATCCATACAGCGAGTATCAATTGGGTTTCGATTGAAAAGTACCTTCGTTCGGGACTACATGATCGGATGAAGGAGGGTTCAGATTAAAGGCCTCGGTTCTTCTCGCTGCTAATCACTTTTGGTTTCGGGGCTGGTGATCCACTCCAGAGAGCTAATCGCGGAGATGTTGCGGATCGCTGGAGAAGAAGAGTTGTAATGGTGGCTGGCGATCTCCTTCTCGCGCAATGGAGTGATGGCGGAAGATGG